GGGGTAAAGTGCCAAGATGCTGGAGGTTCCCTGGGGAGGGGGGGAAGCCCCACGGCCATCAGAGAACCAGGACTCTGCCCAGCTTTGCGGGTCCGCATCCCTGCTCCCGTGGGCGCCCTCTTCTCGGGGGCAGCCAGCCCAGGGTGCCGCTCTCTCTCCCCACCCCCAGATCTCCGTGGCCGTGGTCCTGGCGGTCTGTGCCTGCATCTTCCTCTCCGTCATGCTGGTCATCCTCAACAAGTGCGGCCGGCGGTCCAAGTTCAGCATCAAGCGTAAGTGGGAGAAGGGGGGCTTTGGCCTCCCTGCCTGCCCCCCTCCTGTGCCCTGGGGCTGGAGATGGACTCTGCCTGGCACAGCGCCTCCGCCCTGGCATGGGGCAAGGGGGCTGCCCTGCAGCCTGGAGGGGAGATAGACCCCCTGCTGGTCTGTCAGGGACAGACACCCCCCCCCAATTCCTCTTTCCAGCAGCCTCAGCGCTCCATCTCCTTCCCTGACCTCCATGCAAGTCTCTGGGGGGCTTCTCTCCCTAACACTCCCGGCTGCCCTCCACCCCAGTCCAGGGGCCAGACATCTTCCATAGCCTTTGGGGTCCCTCTCGTGGTCCTCAAGGGCAGCTGTGGCCACGCTTGCACTGACAGCGGACGTGGTCCTGAGGGCCGGGCCCCGGTGAAGGGAAGGCGAGGAGGAGCTGCCTCCCCCCAGCCTCCCCCATTTCATTAGCCTTCCTCCTCCCCCTTCAGGCAGGCATCAGCTGCTAATTCACTGCTGGAATTGATTCAGGCTGTAAATGGGCTTGATCGGCCTGAATCACCCCCGGGGGGCTGGAAAGGCAGCAAAAGGTGGGGGGCGGGGGAAGGAAAGCAGCAGCCACTTGTTGTTGTTAGAGCCATCCAGACCCCCCCTGCCCGCCGCCCACTTGCTGCTTGAGGTGCTTGGCTTGAGAGACCAGAGGAGACCGCCTCTGCCCGTCCACTTCTCTGCAAAGGAGCCTCAGCCGGAGGGGTGCAAAGTGAGGGAGGCTCCCCTGCCAGGAATGCCCCCTTGCCAGCCCTCCTTGCTCCCCCCTCCCCATGCCCTCAGCTGCCCTTGGCTGCTCCCGCGAAAGCTGTGCAGGATTGGGGGTGGAGGGGAGACCCCCAAGGACCCACTGCTCAGGCTGGGCCAGGCAAAGAGGCACGCCAGAAGCGGGCAAGGCCCAAGCCCTCCCTGGTCCTGCGAGGAAGCGCTAGCCCCTCCTGGAAGCTTTCCCTTCCCTTGGAAGCCCGCTGCCCCCATGTTACGCAGAGCGCTGCAGCTCTGGAGCCCTTATCTCCACCCGCCAGGCTCCGGCAGCCCTGCCCTGACGTTGATGAAGATGCATCGGGAAAGGCTTGCGGGGCAGGGGCCTCTCGCGGTAATTACCGGAGGCTTAAACGCTCTGCTTACGGCTCCCTTGGCACTGCCTCCCTTTCAGAAGGGGGGCCACCAGATTGGCGCTGCACACGCTGCCCTCGCGCTCCGCAGGCCCATCAGATGGCTGATACTCTCCAAGCCGGCGCTGGCAGCCATGCTGTTTGCCACCTCCCATCTGTCGCGAAAGATTTCTGCCCGGTCTCTTTGGGGCCCCTCTGGAAAAGGGGACCTTGGCTGGGGATGCCTGCCCAGCCTGGCCTGGGCCTGGAAGCTGGGCAGGGAAGGTCTGGTTAGTCCTTGGAAGGGACACCCTTAGGAAATCCAAACCTGTTAGATTGGGAAGTCAAAGGACATCCCAGGGCAAGTTGTTTGTAGATGTTTCTCCAGAGCTTGCAGGCTTCCCAAAAGTGATTATGTAGCTCAGGCCCTCCTCCTCCTCCTCCTCCTCCTCCTCCTCCTCCAGGACTTGGGGAGAAAAGTTCCTCCTTTTGGTTGCAAAGGCTGTTTCTGGAGTCTCTGCTGGGGTCACACTTCCCCAGGGAAACTAGACTCTTCCAAGGCTTCACACATCTAGGTAAACCACAAGCATGCCGGCCCCGCCGAACATGTCCAGCCGCTGCGTCCTTACCAGACCTGGCCAGGCCGCATCCTGGCTTGCCTCCCACCTCCCAGACCCCCTCTGCCTGTGACCATTCAGCTCCTGGCCAGCTGACCTAACAGCCCTGGCCAACCAACAAGGCTGACCAAGCCCATCTCAGCAACAGGGCTTGAGCCCGGGCGCTGGGCGGCTATGGCACTGCCCTGCCCTCTCCGCCTTGTCGCAGGGTCCGTGGTGCTGGCCCAAGAGGACGACCTGGCCATGTCCCTGCAGTTCATGGACGTGGGGGGCAGCCCCCACTCTTCCGCGGACAGCAAGCTGGAGGCGCTCAAGAGCAGCTTCGTCGAGAACCCCCAGTATTTCTGCAACACCGGTAGGAGCGTCGGGAGCATCCAACCTCCATTGTCCTCTTACAGTGTTGATCCGGGCTCCGCAGCTGGAGGGCCACGGGACCCCCATTCTCCAGCCCCTCCCGGGCCCCAGCTGGGCTCTCTCACCTGGGGAGGCCAGCCGCACCGCCCTCATTCCATCTCCCCCGTGGGTGCGCCAGGCGTCCCTGCTCCCTCTCACCACGCTCCCTCTCGCCCCACAGCCGTCCGCCACATCAAGCGCAGAGACATCCTCCTGAAGTGGGAGCTGGGCGAGGGCGCCTTTGGCAAGGTCTTCCTGGCCGAGTGCCACAACCTCACCCCCACCCAGGAGAAGATGCTGGTGGCCGTCAAGGTGAGCACGCCTGCCCCGCTGGGCTCGCGGTCTGGGGTGGGGGCTGCTCCCGCAGAAAGGGGCTGCCCGGAAGGACCACTGGGTTCTTCCCCGTGGCTGGGTCCTGCGGTCCTTCAGTTTGGGGCCAGAGCTCTCCCGGCTGAGCAGCCCCCTCCTCTCTCCGGAGACCCTGAAAGAAGCCACGGAGAATGCCCGGCTGGACTTCCAGCGCGAGGCGGAGCTGCTGACGGTCCTGCAGCACGAGCACATCGTCAAGTTCTACGGGGTCTGCACCGACGGGGAGCCCCTGATTATGCTCTTCGAATACATGAAGCACGGGGACCTCAACCGCTTCCTCCGGTGAGTAGGAGGCCCGGCCACAGGTGAGACACTGGTGCTGGATGTCCCCCCAGTGGTGCTGGCAGTGTTTATTTTATTTATCTATTCTCAAATTTCTACGTGCCGCCTAGAGTCACTTGTACAGTGCGATGGGCGGCATATAGAAATTTGAAAATAAGCCAACAGAATGAAAAGCACAGGAGACTCTCCCCTGTTTTCTTCCAGTTTCCAGCCGCTGGAGTTGTGGCAGAGGAGTGTCCCAACTGGTTCCTCCTTTCTCCCAGCTCCCTGCCCCCCACCCTGGTGTCTCTTTCCCCCTCCCCGGTTCCATTACTGGAGCAGTTTCCCTGGCCTTTCTCCCTCCCCGGCTAATGCAATCTTCCCTTTGCAATATTGATTAGATTAGTTGTCTGAAAGGCTCAAATTGAAGGGGATTGGCCATCAGCTGGAATAATCGGAGGCTCTTTCGATCGGCCCCCAGGTATTGCCCGTAGGCGAGAGCTGCCAGCGTCCCTCGGACGGGCTCGGGGATGCGGCTCGGAGGGTTATGGTGATAAGACTTGGCATTAATGGAGGGCTCGCTGCAAACACCTCCTCCAGTTCTGTCAGCCGTGTTTTGTGTCAAGAAAAAAAATGGGGAAGCTGCTTTGGGAAATGGCCCTGGACTAGCCCTCCTGGGTGGGGGGTGCCCCGCAGACCCCGGGGCAGAGGAGAGAGCCAAAGGATGCCCAGCTGTCTTTGGGTGCAGCGGACCAGAAATGCCCCTCAGCCCTGCTTCCCGGCCTCTGTTGGGATTAATCTGAAATAGTTCACGGTTTTGCTGCGTCTCTCACTCGTGGCGTGACCAGCCCTCGCTTGTGGGCCGAGGGGGGAAGAAATACCCAAGGGCACGGGGTTGCCACGCCTCGCCCTCAGCATCCCACTGCATTCCTGCCCTTCCCAAATTCTTCCTGAGGTTATTCGATTCCACGTATGGGATAGCAACCAAAGTTGCCACGGTGAGGGCACGCACAATTAATGAACTGCCCGTTCGACTTAACGAGGACTGCATCGTATGCGTCAACCCTGTAAGCGAAATCCAATTAAGGAGCCGTTTGAATGCTCCGGAAACGCAGCAGGCGGTGGCTTCGCGTGACCAAGGTCTCCCCGACCTCCCCGCCTGCAGGTCGCACGGGCCGGATGCCAAGATCCTGGACAACGGGAACGGCCCGTCCTTTGGCCAGCTGAACCTGAGCGAAATGCTGCAGATTGCCACGCAGATCGCCTCCGGCATGGTCTACCTCGCCTCGCAGCACTTCGTCCACCGGGACCTGGCCACCCGGAACTGCCTGGTGGGGCACAGCCTGGTGGTGAAGATCGGAGACTTTGGCATGTCGCGGGATATTTATAGCACAGACTACTATCGGGTAAGGGGGGGGCGTGACCTGCAGCCTTCCAGGGGGTTAGAACAGTCTCCCTGGGCTGATCCCTGACCTTGGCTGGACTCCCACTCCCTGGCGCCAGTTTGGAGCCTGCCGCTTCCTGTTGACTGTTCCAAGTGCCCCTTGGAAGCCCCTCTCTCCTGGCTGGCACCTGATGTTCTCCTCTGCCATCTCTGTGGGCAGGCTCCCTCTCTTGTTTTTAGGGGGCTTCCTCCTCTGAGCCTCCCCGCAAGACTCCAACAGGCATCCTCCCCCAGCAGTGCTGATTCCTCTGGGGGTTGCAACATGGGGGGCAGGACTTTGCCACGGAAGACCTGCCAGGCATTTTTGGGTTCTCGTGACTACCTCCTGAAGGGAGGGGGAGAATGGGGGGGGGCCTGGGGGGGCCACTCCTCCTCTCTTTTTCCCTTTTAGTTTCTCCCCCAGCCTCCATTCCTATTTTATTTGGGCTGGGGGGGGGAAGACGATAAA